CTAAAGGCCTGCGCCCCCATGTCTGGTTTAGATTTTTTTTTTTTTTTTTTGGTCTTTTTGAGACAGCCTCCCTGTAGCCCCAGCTGTGGAACTCACTATGTAGACCAGGCTAGCCTTGAACTCAGAGATCCGCCTGCCTGCCTCTGCCTCCCGAGTGCTGGGATTAAAGGCATGCACCACCACGCACAGCCGGAATTTTTTTTTTTTTTTAAAGTGGTTTAATAGGGAGAATTAGGAACAGGCCATGAAGTATGGTCATGAATTTGTGTATTTCTTCATGCATTAACTAACTCTTTTCCCTCCTCTTCAGGGTTCTTTTGGAACGGTTGATTGTAAATAGGCCACATCCTTGGGGTCTTCTTATTACCTTCATTGAGCTGATTAAAAATCCAGCATTTAAGTTCTGGAACCATGAGTTTGTACACTGTGCCCCAGAAATTGAAAAGTGAGTTAAAAGTAATTTAATTACCTAGCAATGAGACAAAATATTTCTAATTTTGGTCTGTGATTTAGAAAGCAGTTGTAAAGCAAGCAAAGCCTTGCTAAGTAAAGGCCTAGATTTTGCCCATAAGTAAACGGACACTTGCCTCCACTTTGCAGGTTATTCCAGTCTGTTGCACAGTGCTGCATGGGACAGAAGCAGGCTCAGCAAGTGATGGAAGGGACGGGTGCCAGTTAGAGGAACTGCAAGGCCTTGGTCCCAACACACCAAGTTCTCATAAACTGAAGACTTTTTCGACTCCTCCAGACTATCCCAGCCATTTGGTTTTTGGGTGTCTGCCCTATTAACTGCCGGGGGTTGGCCTCCTGTCTACGTGGGCACGTTCCAAAGTTTAAATGCATTTTTTTGACTCTTGGCCAAAATTTAGAAAATGCTGTGAATATCATTTTGAACTTGTGTAAATATATGAAAGAAAAAATTTTTGTCTGGAACTTCTTGAGTTTGTGTAAAATGTGTCTTAAGGCAAGTACATAAACTAGTGCATTTTAAGAGGCAGTTGATGCCATGCATAAGTTCCATGTCTTCTGACATTCCTGGTGTCCCAAAGAACAGAAGAGAGCTTGAAAAATCATTTGTTAAATCTGCTATGCCTAGGAACATGGGAAGGCTCACATGTGAGACCTTGTGTGGGGGTGTTGCTTGCCTTTTCCCAAAAGCCACTCTAAAAGCCGGCTGCAGGGAAAGCAGTCGCACCAACTTCTTGATCCTAAGGGGATAACACATCTTGAGAGGAAAGGATTCCAGGTCTAGGGCTTCCAAACTGCAAAGGGGGACCAGATTTTATGAATTTCCCTCTATCATCACCTTGCTTAGGCTATGCAGCCTAGTTGAATAACAAAAGTCAGTAAGACCAATATATAGTCAGTCCCTTTTGAAAGGATTTTAAATGGTTTATAACTAGTTGGTCCCATGTATTTTGTAGCTTCTCTAGTTCCTGCGCCCTAGCTCCTCAAACTTCTTGAGTATGCAGACTCTGAACATTAAAGTCACAGCATGCATAGGAGTCCATTGTGCCTTTCTCAGTAGCAGCAGCCAGCAGTGCTGTTGAGGAGGAAAAGTGGGCATCCCAGCCTCAGAGCCTGGGCCACTGGGAAACAAAACCCTTTTGAATGACAGAAGTTTTCTATTTACTACACTGGCATTTTTGTTACCTGGTTTGGGTTTTTTTGTTTTTTTTAAAGCTAAGGCCCTGCTCCTATGCAGCCCAAATTCTCCGTATTTCCTGCCTCAGCTTCCTAAGTGGGCCACCACCATGCCCAGGCAAGGAAATTTTTGTACTGTTTCAATAGGAGAAAAACTGTTGGAGCAAAAAAAATCTGGGTAAGACTAAATTTTCAAAGTCTTAGGTGTTTTGGTATAAATAGGTAGTATTTGAAACAGTCCCTCTTAAAGTTTTAATATTGCCTTTAATGATGCTCAAGTTTTGTGGCTTAGAGAGAGGATAAGTCGAAAAGTAAACAGTTGGAAATGTTACACAAATGAGCCTTGAGTTGATTCCTTAAGGGTGAATTGTGCTATCAAGAGCCAACTTCAGGCTGACAGGTCAGACTGACAGTGCAATAAAATCCATCTGTCACTCTTGACCAGCACACTGCAGCTTAAGTTCTCAACAGGAAAAAGGCTCAAAAAGTTGGTCTTTTCCTGGGCTTGACAGATGGCTCAGGTGTTGAGAGCATATACTACTGTTCTTCCAGAGAACTCAGGTTCAGTTCCCAGCATCCACATGGCAGCTCACAACTACCTATAACTTCAGCTCCAGGAGGACCCGATTCCTCTGGTTTCCATAGGCACCTCCATTCATGTCACATACATAAACAATCCAAAAAAAATTTTTTTTTAAGAGTTTTCTCAAAAATTGACCCAGGTTGCCTCCAAAGACCATGTTAACCACTTTTCCTACTGGCTTTGGTTAAAATAATGACATGTGTGTGACACCCCCCCCCCCATGTCATTTTGAGACAGTCTCCTAGCCTGGAACTCACTAAGCAGACCAGGCTGGCCTTGAACTCACAGACCCATCTGCCTCTGCCTCCCAAGTGCTGGAATTAAAGGTGTGCGCCACCACATCTGGCCATAAAGCAATGTATTCTTAAGTAACAATTCCCAAGTCTGCTCATCCCAATCCTAAAACATGTCACCTTTGCCTCATGTTAGTCGAGCAAAACTTTAGCTATTTTTCTTTTGGGTACTCAATAAGAAAAGCAAAATCAAATTTCCCTCCTTTTCAAGCAGCAAAACATGAGCTTTAAAAAAGTTCTTGCAGCTGGTCCTTCAGGCAACAAGAAACCTGCTAACTTGTGAGTTCCAACAAGTGATGTAAGATCATCTTCTGACCATAGCGAACTTGCAAGGCTTGCTGTTCCCTCCAGCTCAGTTTGGCATAGACCTCCTTATTAGTAAGTAAATCTTGCTCAGTTTTTAAGTCTGTAGCATAGGTCTGTAGGGTCAACAGAACACTGTCTCGAAGAAGCCTTCTCCATGATATGTTGAGACTGGGAATATTTGTGATGGTCAGGTTGTCCTCTTCTTTCTCATCCTCGTCCCATCCATCTTCATCTTTATATTCTTGGAACTCCTCAGCAGGCATACACAGCACCTAGAAGCAGCCATGAAGCCCTTTAATTATGATGTACTAGTGTATCTTTGAACTTTTGAGGCCAGAAATACTCCCTTAGGAACACTTATCTATTACAGCCCATCTTTTCCCTCTCATCTTTAGCTGTTTTATTCTAAATGTGTAAGTTGGGCTGGAGAGGTGGCTCAGGGTTAAGAGCACTTGCTATTCTTCCAAAGGACCAGGGTTCAATTCCCAGCACCTACACAGAGGTTCTGTCACCCTCTTCTGGCCTTTGCAGACACTACACATACCAGTATACATATACGCAATCAAAGCACTTGTATAACAAAAAATAATTTTTCTGGGGTTAGAGAGATGGTTTTGGCGGTTGGGGGCACTGGCTGCTCTTGGCAGAGGACCCACATTCAGTTCTTAGCACCCACATGGCGGTTCACAACAGTACCTCCAGTTCCAGGGGGATCTGATGCCCAGTTCAGGCACTTATGTGCAGGCAAAACACTCAAAAACTAGTAAAATGGATGAAAAAAAGTACCCAAGTTAGTTAACCACATTCCACAACCTGTAGGCCCTTTACCTTGAGTGTGGTGGCCAGCTCCTCTTGAGTCAGCACTTCCTCACGCCCAATCACAAATGCCCCCTCTTCCCCTACCATCTCCAGTTTGCATAAGAAATCCCAGCGTTCCCACAGCAGGAGCCTTTCAGCCTCATCCTTTGTTCCTATGAAATAACAGGATGGAAATCATAGCCACCACCAATTCCAAGAAACCAACTGCTATTTAGCAAAGGTGCTGCAGCCTGGGATGGACAGACAAAAAGACAGTGTCAAACACTATTGAGACGCACCCTGCAATGCTGCTTCACGAACTGTCACCATTTGAATGTCTGCTGTGTCGTCTGTGTTGTCAGGATATGGTTCAACAAAACCATACATATGCATCAGCTGCCAATTTGCCATTTGCCCATACGTGTTGAAAATCTCGTGGCCTTTAGGAATGGGCTGAGTAGCCACCATCCGAAGATAATCCTGGGATAAAAGGGAGGAGCCATCCCTATGAAGAAACTTCCCTCTTCATAGAAATGAAGAGCTCAAGAGCCTCCAGGTGCATCTGTCTATAAACTGAAGCTGCATCTCCTACTATGTGTCATCTTCCGTCTGTTAGACCCTGTTGTAGAAGGGGCTGAGACCAACTTTCAAAGGTCAATGCAGTGTTACTAGGTATCTCTGCACTTAAAAGTTACTAGCTTTTAAAAATAAACAGTTAAAACTCAGCAGTAAAGAACTGGAGGCAAAGATTAAGAAGTGAAAATCACACTTGCTAACTTTTTGAGACTAGGTCTTAGTATGCAGACTGAAACTGGCCTGAACTTACAATCCTGCCTGTGCCTCCCTTTGGTCGGTGGGGTGGTTAGTGTTTGGTTGAGGCAGTCTCATTTGAGGCCAGGGCAGCCTGGGACCGAGCTGTAGTGCATGCCTTGAACCATCAATCCTGGCTCAGCTCAGCCTCCTAGGATTACAGATGTAAGCCATTAGGCCCACATCATTTGCTACTTTCTAATCACATAAACCCATGTCTTTTCTCACAACTTTCCATGTAGAATCAACACCATTCTAAAGTGGGGTCATATTAGGTCTCCTGCCTTTGAACATTCTGCCTTTGCGCTAGGAAAGTCCATGGGTCCAACTTGACAGCTGACAGGGCAGAGCAACCAGCTTGCTTTTTTTTTCATTTGAGGGCTTTAAGATTTGTTCACAATCGCTGTGACATGATACCAAAAGTAAACACAGTTAACCTGGAGCCCGATGATTTGATAACAAAACGGAAGGGTCCACTCACCGCAGAGTACTCTAGATTGGCATTGTGTTTGGCTAAGTGGTTTAGTATGTCTGCAGCAGGCACCATCAAGGGGGAATTTGGCTCCTTTTCCTCTTCCTCTTCCTCCAGGGGTTCCTGAAAGCTGCCACAAAGAGAACTTGCCTAAGGTGAGGGACTTGGGAGTTCATTTTCCCTCCCCACTTTTCACCTCAGATGAGGATTTGATTCTCTCTTCTACTCACTGACCTATAGGCCATCACGACGGCCACCAGCTGGTGATAAAGTTCCAAGGAACGAACACTGGGGCTGAAGAGATCGGGGTGGGCCTCCATGAAGGGCAGGACGATGGAATGGTACTCGCTTCGGATGTTGGCCAAGTCCTTCTCCACGGCCTCGGGGACACCAGTACCCTTCAAGAGGCGCCGCCTCTCCTCCTCTGGCCTGCAGGGACAGCCCACCCAGCTCCCTTCCGTAGCCTACCGCTCCAAGGAGCACAAGGCCTGGTCCCAGCGCAGGGTGGTCCCCACCCCTCCCCCTCGGCTCTCACCAGAACATGGGATGCTCCAAACGGCCCAGCTCGGGCCAGAGCGCGAAGTATGGGCTCCAGAGCGAAGCTGGGGCCTGCAACTCATGGAGAAGGGCCAGCAGCAGCGGCACCCAACCCGACTGGCTCTGCAGCGCGCCTCGCTCTAGGGAAGACAGGGCAAGAGCTCGGGCGCAGCTCCGCCTCGGTCTCCACCCGCCCCCAAGCCGCAGGTCCCCGCACTCACCGCGCTCCAGCAGGCTGCCGATGGCGCAGGTGTGAGGCGCCAGGAGCGCTGCCCGTGGCACGGCAAACAGCAGCTCGCCGGGCTGCACGCTCTCCCGGGCCAGCATGCCATAGCCGGCCACCGTGCCCTGCCGGCTCACCGCCACCTGAGCAGGCGAGGCGGGTCAGGCCCCCGCGTGGGCCGCGCTTAGCCCCCGGCCGCCCGCACTCACCTTGGGACTCAGCTGCAGTCCCACTCGCGCGCACCAGCGCAGGAAGCCGGCCACCGCGTCGCAGTCGGGCTCGCCGCCGCCGGGCCCCGCCGCCTGGGTGAGAAGCGGGGTGACGCAGGGGTGCGGGGGCCGGAGGGGAGGGCCTGGAGGGGCGCGGGCGGGGACCCCGAGGCGGCTCTCGGGGTGCGGCGAGGCCGAACTCACCCGTGGGCGCTTGGCCGGGGTCGCCATGGCAGAGAGGCGCCGCCGTCCGAGCCGCGAGCGCTTCCGGCGCCGCTCGCCCCGCCCCGGGCTGGACCCGAGCGGACGGGGCGGAGCAAGGCGTCACCGCGGGCAGTCGGGGCGGGCTGGGTTCTGCCTCTGCCCTGCAGCGTTTGGGTTCCTCTCTCTAGTTGGGTTTCGGGAACGCGCGATCCGAGCGCAAACTGGGGAATTCCTGTGCTGCCTCCACTCTGGTGCTGGGTCTGCCCGGGAAAGCTGAAACTTCCTTGGGTAGAAGTCCGGGGGCGAGAACAAAAATCGGATTTTTCTACGCCGCTGCTGTGCTGTGAGCGCATCCATACCGGCGGCCAGCCACCGGTCGCTAGCGAGTCACTGGTTGGATTAGAGCAGTTTGCATAGAGTGACATGCAGGGCTCCCACATCTAAAACACCCAACCCCCTCTGTTGCTAGTATATCCTTGTTTTTCATCTTTGGCGTAGCACGTGGTAGGATGCACTTTAGCTTACACACAGGAAGGAGTTAGTAGCAAGTGGATGAAAGGTGGAACAAACGGTTAAACATGGAGGGCGGCAGTGGTGGTTCACGCTGTAAATGGCCAGGTGGGTCTACCTAGTGAGTTCTTGGCCAGCCTAGGCTACAGAGTGAAACTGTCCCCAAACAACAAAAAAACACAAGTGGTGTGTAATTAATTGGAATACAGCAGTGAAGAGATGTAAGTTGTTTCCTTGGCTGTGAAACCTCTATACCTAGCCTGCAGGATTGTCAGGATTGGTAAACTGCATCCAGCTGGGAATGTAGCCCTGGTGTCGCCCGACAGATCACTTGCCCACCATGTGGTATGGCCGTGGTTCAATACCCATCACCCCAAAAGACAAAGAAAAAGCTGGGCAGGGTGGTTCACATTATTCTGACACTCAGAAGGCTGAGGCAGAGTTGCTTAGAGTTTCAAGGCCAGCCTGGACTAGAGAGACTGTTACAACCTTCCAACTCCACCTTTAAAAAACCACGTGTAAAGGGCACTGAAGGCACAGAGAGGGACGTGAACAGTTTCTGTCCTCACCTGCCTGAGCCCAAGTGAAGAGCTGGGTAGCCTGGATAGTCTGGAACACTTCCATGTGACGGAGGCAATACACTCGCGTGATTCTTAATTTCTTTATTACTCTGCACAATTAACTTTCTACATTGACAAGGGTTTTGATCTGACATTTTGTCATCTCAAAAATCTCACAACGTCAGCCACCAGAATACACAAAATTAGGCTCTTCATTTTGTACACAGAGGAAAGTAATAAACTCCATTAAAAGTTCACCTTGACCAAGGAGACAACCTCCAATGGAGAACCACACACAGGAGAACCTGATATACATGTATGTATATATAATGTATAGGTATTTATTAGATATCTGAAGAACACAGGAAAAAAAAAGCCTCGATACTTGCAGTACTATCTACAATAAGGGATTAATTCTACCAGCTTTAAACACATTTAATATTCAAGGAAGTATGTTGAGTGAACAGAACTGGGGCAGAGTAACACTCCATTGGACTCTAGAGCAGTCTAGAAATGGCTTACAGTTACAGAAGAGGGCATGTGCCAAGGAACAATATAGGTGTCCTCAGCTCAGATCACCCCCCACACACACACAGCCCGTCATTCTTCTTTAGTGTGCTCTTCCTCTGTTTAAGCATAACAATGGATTCAGGCTGAGACAACAGCTCTGGATTCTGGACTGGGAAAGTCTACCTGGTGAGGTGGGTGGACAGCTGTGAGATGCAGGAGGGGCTGGGGTGTGCAGGGAGTCTTTCTCCTCCACCTTTGCTTGCCTTAAGGACCATTCATCTCCCACTCTGGGCCCCAGGAAGACCCAGCCCCCTCCCAGCAGTCAGAGGTGTGACATCTTGCCGTCTTGGACCGGTTCTCTCCCACAAGCTCACCTCTCCAGTGGTGTCTGTGAGACACACTGGTCCAGCTTGACAGGACTGTCTGCCACACACCCGTGGAGGGATCTGTGGCAGCAGAGGAGGCCATAGAACTCTCAATTACTTGCCAGTTGCCAAAGGGGTCATCACAAAGTTTTCAAGGGCTACACATATCACACAACCACTCCTGGCCTCTTGCCTCCACCACCAGAGAGAGGGGGCCAGGTGACTTCTGGCCCAGGATGGGACAGAGACATGGGGTGGCAAAGTATAGGGGTTCCTGACCTTGGGGTTCTCCATGTTCTGTCTTCAGCCCCTGCCAGGTCCTACTGCACCTTCCTGCCTGCTCAGAACACCCTCTTGTGGCTGCCCTCCTGTGACTGTCACCTGCACCACCAGTCAGAATCGTTGCGCTTGGTGCAGGGGTTGAGAAGAAAGGGCCCTCTGAGGTCTAGGGCTCTCCACTGGTTTCTCCTGGCTTCCACCTACATCTGAGCTCAGCACCCACTCTCTTTTGCTCCCATGCTATCTTCAAATCTGCCTGCCCAAGAGTGAACCAGGCCTTTTCTTCAATACAGGAATGGTCCTGGATCCTGGCCACAGAAAGAGGTGAACTCTTTCCTCAGCCAATCCCCACGCCAGGGTCATGGGGGCCAAGTTAGAGGGGTCGTATCAACCAGTGAATACGCTGGGTGAGATGGGAATATATAGGGTGACCCCCTCATACCATCGAAGACTGTTCCTTGGCATCATCTAAGGTGGATCCCTCATTTTCTAAATAAAAGAGAAGTAACTCCATTTCCTCCCCTTCACCCTCACAAAAATAAACTAAAAGGAAGATGAGCCAGCGCAGAGATGGCAGTGGGACCTGGGGGTGAACGGGAGACTTGGGCAGAACCAAGGGCTTCAGCAGGACACCTCCATGGTGTGGTTGACCTGGCCCAGTGCCTCACTGCTCTCTGAGTGGGTGCAGGCCTGCGGGCGGTTGCCATCCACAGAGCTGGCGCTGGTGAGAGATGCAGTTCGAGAGCGTGCAAGGCGGGTCATGCTAGCCGAGGGCACTGTGGACAGAAACAGAAGGGGCATGAGAATAGGCAGGGTGGGTACCAGCAGGCGGGAAAAGGACAATGCAAGCAAAGCGGCCAGCGGGACCCAGTCTTTGCACAACACAGAGGCCCATCCAAAGCCAGGGCGCTGGCAATGGTTCCATCAGGCCCAAGGCATGCAGGGCCAGCAACAATGAGCAGGCCAAAGGGGTTGCAGCCAGCAGGACCCTGGATCCCAGCAGCTGGCCAGAACTATGGCCAAGACAGGTCAGGTGCTGACCAGGCACCCTGAACTGGTACAGGAAGGCACTATGTGGCCTACATCAAGAGGGTGACAGTGGGAGGCAAGAATGCTTTTGTGAAGGACAAGGTCACAATCACAAGCTGCCCCGAATCCTGCTTCTGCTCTATTTAGTTTCACAGATGAGGCCTGCCTGCCTGCCTGCCTGCCTGGAGGCTGGGCTAGGGCTAGGCACGATGCCGCAAGCTGCCCCGAATCCTGCTTCTGCTCTATTTAGTTTCACAGATGAGGCCTTCCTGCCTGCCTGGAGGCTGGGCTAGGGCTAGGCACGATGCCAACAAGGCCAGCCTGGAGCTGCATTTGAGGCTGGGAAGCCCCACAGCCCACAGCAACCTAGAAACAATACTACTCGAAGACCAGCCATTGTTCAGTCCCCACATGGGCCAAAGCCGTCAGCAGACCAGGGTCTGTAGAAGAGCAGGGATCTTCTGGGGCTTTGAGCCGAGCAGGACACGAGAAGATTCCAAACCACAGCAAGATGCAGCCTTGCTGCTGGGAGGAAGGCACAGGGGAGGGTCTGGGCAGGGTATCCATGCATCAGGAGAGGGGCCACGGGGCTACCTGCTCCTCCACTCAGCCTTCGGTCCTTCAAGTATGCAACTAAGAGAAAAGACAGCCAGAGAGGGGCAGGGGAGACACAGAACACGGTGAAGATTGGGCCGGGCGAAGAGCATCAAGATGGGCCAAGATGAGACAAACAGATACATGAAGGGCCAGGGCGGGGCTGAGCCACAGAAAGCCCACTCTTGCCACCCATTCATGTCCCGGTTCACGGAAGCTGCACAGCAGGGACTGACTGCAGTCTCAGGCTCCCACTCCTCCTCCTCCAGCTGTGGCTTGTCATTTAGGTCTGTGGGGCCACACACTAGACCCAGCACCCTCACTGTCCCAGCAGGCCTCAGTCTCACGCACAAAGTAGAGCAGGCCTGTGCAACCTCCAAAGCCCCTCCTAATACCTGGACTGTCTGGTGTACTAACCTCGTGACAACACTCCAGCACCCAGTGCTGCTCCCTAGTCACCTCATAGATGGCCACAGGGCTCCATGAGTGCATGAGGCCTAGACTCAGAGTTCTGGTTGGGTCTCCTTGTCTGCCTTGGCCTCTCTCTCTCTCTGCCCTACTTCTCCCTCGAAGAGGCCGAGAGAGTGGAGGGATACCCCAACTTGCCCTCCCACAGAAGAACATGTTTTAGAGGCTGAAGTCTTGGAGGGAAGGATACCAAATTCAGGGAGAGTTCATCTCCTGGCAGTTGTGTGTTGGGAGGAGGAGACCAGGGGTCCAGCAGGCACACAGGAGCCAGCGGAATGGTGTGTCTGTGTGTATACTTACATGTATGTGTGTGGGTGTTCATGGACACAAGCTGTATCTATTGTTATCTGAGGCTAAGTTTTGGGAGGGATGAGGGACAGAAAGCTGGTCATACCCAAGAGCCCCCCTGTCCTCAGGATCCTCAAGCTGACCTTCCCAAGCCTAGCTACACTAATATCCACATGGTCCCACTTCCTCCCCTGGTCCCCAGACTCCAAGTCCATTCCTGTGATGTAGATGAGTGAATGCCACCTTCCACTTCTGGCAAAGGGCCTTGGAGGTGCCTAGGCCCAGTAGGGGTGGGTAACTCACCTCAAACAGGCTTCCCTAGCAGGACCCAGCCTAGGTTCTGGACCCTCAAAAGCTAGAAGAAAAGGCCTCCCCAAAGAGGACCTAACACCGGGCTCAAGAATAGTGCCTGAGGCCCCCACCCAGGCACAGGAAGCTGGTCAGGCCTGGGCCACCCGCCTTATAATATATGTGGAGTCTGAGGGGAGTGGCCCAGCATCTGGGGCCCAGATGACCCAGACTACACTTACCTACTGGCTCCCCAGCATGTGGGCACTATGTCCCCCATCCCTTGTCAGGGGTGGATGGAGGTGTACTTACTGTAGCCCATGCCTTGTAGGAAGTATTTGAAGGCCTCGGTCAGTTTCCCTGGCTGCAGGAGGATGGACATGTTTTGATTGGCTGCCTGAGACTAGCAGGAACAATGGGGAGCCCTCATTCCCCACCTCCCACCAGGCTTCGTGAAACAAAGGCAGAAGAGCCAAGGGTCTCACCTGTGTCACTTGGGGGAGCCCCCCAGAATCTGCCATCTGCAAGGGAGAGAGCAGGGTGAACTGAGGAGCCCCTGACATTAGACAGACTATGCTGTCCAGACACACCATTCTGCCACCATCCTCTCCAGCAAGCCCTTCCCTGCAGCTGAGCCATGGTGTGGTTGGTGGGATAGAGGCTAGAAGGGGTTTTCTCACCTTCAGGAAAGTCGTGGTGGTTGGGTCCAATTTGGAGTTGCACTCAACCTGGGGACAAGGAGTCAAGTGCATCAATGTTCCTGTTTCCCCACCACACTGCTTAGATTCTATGCCCAGAGCAGGGAGGAGAGCCAGGGTCACTCTGGCCAAAGGAGCTGGGGCGGGGGTGGAGGGAAGAATGGGGCGGCCAAAGGGTAGCAGGGAACTCTAGAGGCCCAGCCTGGGTCAAAAACAGCCCACACCCTGTTCTTACAGCCTTTCTCATTGGCCCTGAAAGGTTTGGTATCTTCTAGGCACTCCTGGGCCCTGCAGTCTACAGATAGCTTTGTGCTGACGGGCACCCATCCTGAGGTTGCCTGCTGCCAGAATTCCAACAAGAGAAGTTAACACATGCTGCCGCTAATCAGGACCCTGGGTGGCCCTAGGGTTAAGTGCTGATGTATTTGAGTCACTTATGGGTCAGTCAGATTTTAGAGGAAGAGAGACACCTTAGGCTCTGAGCCTGAAGTGTGTAGAAACTGAGGTGGACTGTACAGCAGGGGAGAAGAGGGGCCACCAGGCAGTCTGGCTCTGATCCCAGGCTCCTTCCCTTCTCCAGGCCTCTTTACCTACAGGATGAGGGTGACCAGGCACTGATGTATGGCCAGGTGGCAGGAGAGTGGCTGAGAAGCTCACAGTTCAGGGCCTCTCCCAGCTTCTGACCTCCCACCCCACTCAGGACAATGCACACTCACCACCCCATCCTCAGCAGGTGCATTATCTCCGACCACCAGCATCACCGGGCAGCTGTAGATACAGAGGAAAAGGGTCATTTGTCCTGTGCATAGGGGCAAAGGCAGGGACTGGCTGGAGGGCAGGGGTCACTCACCGGAGCGTCTTGGCATTGGGCACTGTCCCAGGCCGGTTAATATCCAGGTCTCTGCGGCTTAAGAGAGGGGCAAGGGCAAAGGTGGGTATCCCAGGGCCAGATGAGGGAGGCCCCAAGCCCAACACTGCCAACTGGAATAAGGGAGCTGTGGACTTGTTCTGCATAAACAGGGGTCTTTGGAGTTTTCCTCATACATGTGTTCTTTCCAGAACCCCCAACCTGTGCCAGGTGGGTTCAGGTTTTCTTTCCAGCCCCCTACCCCCACCTCTGAGAACACCTACACACTTTCATCTTGGAAGCCCCTGCTGCTGGACTGGCTTCATGCACAGATGCTTACTCAGTATCTGCATCTAGGCCTCTTACTCATCTAGTTTGCTTTTGTCTTTTTTTGTTTTTTTGTTTTTTGTCTTTTTGAAGCAGAATCTCCCTGTAGCCCCAGCTGTCCTGGAACTTATTATGTAGACCAGGCTGGTTCTGAACTCAGAGATCCGCCTGCCTCTGCCTCCCAAGTGCTGGGACTACAGGCGTGCACCACCATGCCAGGCTTACTCACCTAGTTTTTCCAGCAGATGTTTACTAAATATGTGCAGAAGCAAAGATGGGGGGAGATGGGTAACCTCTCAGGAAGGCTCTAAAAGGCACTGTTGTAAACTCCCAACTTCATCTAACAATCTCTCATTTCACAGGGGTGAGCACTGAGGCATGTAGTTAGGGGTCTAGGGTGTTGCTAATATTCTTCCCAGTGAGGGAGGAGATGAGCAAGAACCCAAGGTCCAGAGTCTAAGGCCCTGCTCCCCCTCTGCTCCTCCGAGGCTACACCCTGGGCAAGAAGCTACCCTCTCCCAAACTCCAAAACCAGTTCATTTACAAACTGGGGAAGGTGTTGCAGGTCTTGCACCCACCCTCTGAGGAATGTGGGGGAGGGTGTCAATACCTGTTGTACATGTTCCAGAAGAGCTGCAGGTTGGCCTGGTTTACCACATTGGAGATCTGCTGCCGGTAGCTCTGCACCAGCTCCGTGTTGTTCACCAACTCCTCCTGGTGATGGGAGGATAGTGGATGGGGAATGGAGGGAGGATGGGAGGATGGGAGGATAGAAGGGAGCACAGGGATACACACATGCTGAGGGACAGGGGTCTCAGGGCTCTGAGAAGGCATGTGGGAGTCATCTCCAGAGCAGTTCTGACCCCATCCAGCAGGGAAGAGGAGGGAGGGTCTAGGAGGCAGGGGAGAGGCCTCTGGAGGAGACAGGAAGCCTCCCACCACCCAACTCCAATGCTGCATTACCACTGCTAACAGTCTGGAATGGCACAGGTCAGGGACAGATAACCACCTCCTGCAGGGCTGGGACAGTGGCTCTGTGACCCAGCCCTGCCTGACCTACAGCAACTGCCCATCCTGGCCCCTGAGCCCCAGCCTCTGCTCCTGAGGATGCCCAATCTGCAGAGGCTCCACCCCTTACCTGGCTGAAGAGGTGGGAGAGCACCGTGTCTGGTAAAGTGCTGGTGAGGCCAGAGAGCTGCAGGAATGAGGGAGGGTCAGTGTGAGACCCACCTTTGGTCACCACGGTATCACAGGCTAGGTTGAGTGGAGAGAGGTGGGCTCAGAGCTCACCTTGGTGGCAGCCCAGTCAATCCAGCCTTTGCCATTGGGGTCGATGTTCATCAGTACCAGCCCCTCCACCAAGTCGGGGAAAATGAGCTGTAGGGGTAGAGGAGAAAGGGCTGAGTCAGGAGGGAGGGATCAGGGTCGAACTCCCTTCTTCACACTCAGAAAATAGGCTGTGTAATTCTCAATGCCATGGGCCAACTGGCTGAGGCTGGTTTTGTATGGAGGATCCCATTGCCAAGGGCCCTGATACGCCTCCTCCCTATACCATCCCTAAAAATTCATTGATTCATCTAAAATCTATGATTATAGCAGTTTTTCACCCTTTAATTTATTATTATTATTATTATTATTATTACAGGAGATTGAGGATCACTCATTGTGGTGCTGGGAACTGAACCCAGATCCTCTGCAAGAGCAGCAAGTGTTCTTAACTACTCTGCCTCCTGAGTGCTGGGATTAAAGGCATGCGCCACCACGCCCAGCTAATTTTTTTTTTTAAATGTATATGAGTGTTTTGCCTGCATGTATATAAGTGCACCTATGCATGCAATGCCCTCAGAGGCCAGCAGAGGACAGGGCATCAAATCTCTGGAACTAGAGTTACAGGTGGCTCTCGCGCTGGGAAAAATACCTGGGTCCTCTTCAAGAGCAGTCAGTGCCCTTCCAACTGCTGAGCAATCTCTCCAACCCCTTCTTAACCCTTTATTTATTTATTTTTTGATATTTTTTGAAACAGGGTCTCCCTGTACTCCCTGTAGCCCCAGGTGGCCTAGAACTCACTATATAGACCAGCTAGCCTTGAACTCAGAGATCTGCCTGCCTCTGCTTCCCGAGTGCTGGGACTAAAAGCATACAGCACCACGCCTGGCTTCACCCTTCTTAATACATATATGTTTGTGTGTGTGCATGTGGTTCTGGGAATGGGACCTAGGACCCCACCACGTGTACTAGGTAAGCACTATTTATGGAGCTGCACTCCAATCTCTTTGAATATATTTTGAAAGTGTTGCAAAACTAAGTATTAAACATCTTTAAAATCTTTTTAAAAATTTACATTTATGTTTGTGCAGGCATATAACCCGCCCACTGGCGCCATGGTGCACGTGTGTTGGAAGTGAGACAACTTGTGGGAATCTGTTCTCTCCTTCCACCATTTGGGTTCTGGGGACCAACTCAGGTCACCAGGCTTGGCAGCAAGCACCTTTACCAGATGAGCCAGCTCACTGGTATCATCTTAAAACATGTTGTTTCTTTGGTTTGACAGCAAAGAAGATGTTGTGATGTAAGTTAAGACATTAACCTTTTGCCGGGTATGGTGGCATACACTTTTAGTCCCAGCACTTGGGCCTTTAGTCCCAGCACCCAACTGGTGGCCTACCTATGTGTTGGGAGAACAGGAGAGACATAGCCACAGTTGTAGCCCTGCAGAGCCTGTCTGCAGGGTCTGAAATAGTCTACAGCCAACACAATGGCTAAGGACTGGAACTGAAAATTCTGGGTTATTATCATTTTAAAGAAACAAACATTTGAACTCTAAGAGAAAGTGTTTCTGGTTTTAGAGATGAAAAGTTCTCCTGCCTGATCTGATGTTCTGAAATGTGGTTCCCATTAAGCCTTTGCACCCTAATGTAAGTGTAATTTTTGCTAAAAGACTATTCATCCTCCTATGGCACCCTAATCAGTGAATGACAACCTTTATGAGTAGACAGGACAATCAGTTATAGAGTCTGTTGCTAATAGGAACTTTGGCTTTGGATAACGGTTAAGCAAGCTGTAGTTAGTCTTTTGAAGAGACACATGGCAAAAGAACTTTTTTAAAATTTATTTATGGGGCTGGAGAGATGGTGCAGTGGTTAAGAACACTGGTTGGTCTTGCAGAAGACCCGGGTTGGAATCCCAGCACCCACAGGGCAGCTAACAACTGTCTGTAACTCCAGTCCCAGGGGATCCAACAGCCTCTTCTGACCTCCGCACGCATCGCACAACACGGGTGGCACTTACCTACATGCAGGCAATACACGCATACACATTAAAAATAAGTAAAATAAAATTCAGTTACTTCCTATTGTCTGAATGATGCATGCCACACTCATGTGGAGGTAAGAGGGCAATTTTGTGGTGTCAGTTCTCTCTTTCCTTCTTTATGTGGGTTCCACAGTTTATGAGCTATCACCACAAGTCACAAGACAGCTCAGGTCTCCAGCCTTGCACAGCAAGTGATTTAACCTGCTGAGCCATCTCGCTGACCCATTGACTTTATTTTTTATGATGCTAGGGATGAGACCCAGAGCCTCACACATGGCTGGGCAACCACTCTCCCACTGAGCCATACCTTCAACCCTTCCTCTTCTTCTTTTTTAATGATTTGTTTGTACAAGTGTTTTGATTGCTGGTATGTTTATTGATGTGTGTGTAGTGCCTGCAAAGGCCAGAAGAGGATGACAGCCGTCATGTGGGTTCTGGGAGTTCAGGTTCTTAACCCCTGAGCCACCTCCCCAGTACCTCCACTTCTTTTTCCAGTTAATTTCTTGGAGAGAAAAAGGAACAAAGGGCTTTTCTCAGCAAAGAAGAAATTGGAGTAGTAGGATGAAGAGCAGGGGAAGCCCGTGTGGCCCAGGGACACCCCCTTGGCCTGAACCAGGGTTCTGAGCGGGTGTGGGGTAAACTTACCGCAAACTTGGCCAGCACATAGGCTCCGGCTCCCACTCCAATGCCAATCACGTACTTGAACCTGGTGTGGGGAAGGCTGGTCACTCTAGGGCTGAGTGTCATTTCCCATGAAACTAAGCCAGAGTAGGTCTCACCCACAGCCTTCAGCCAGAGCCAGAGGGACTGCCATGGTGTGGGCACTTCCTATCCCCCAGCCTAGAGTCAGGGAATGGGAGGGACTCACCCAAAGTGCTGTACCACACTGGGGAGCATAGCAGCCAGCTGCTCCATGGATGGGAACTGGTACCTGCAGGCAGAGCATGCAGTCAGAGCCTGGGTACAGTGAGGGCACAGGGCTGGAGACAGTGAAGAAGGCCTGGGGTACCTACCCCTGAGGGAATTGGGACGCCCCCACCTGCTGTCCAGGGGCATCCACATGGCACACCACAAAGTGTTTGGTGATCTCCTGCATGTCCTCAAAGTTGAAGAAAGTGTTGAAGCACAGCTTGTCTGCAAAGACACACCTCTCAGTGGGTGAAGAGAGGACAGGTACTGAGAGGGACATCAGGGGGACCCTGTGGGTTGGCAGGCAGGCAAGGCAGGCTTGATGGGCCTCAGAACCCAGTTTGAGGCTAAGCCACAGAGGAAAAGGTAAGCTGGGATCTCCAGTACTCTGCAGGGAGAGGAGGAAGCTTCACTGCTGTGGTGGTTCAAGGCAGGGCCACGATGGGTGGAGCAGGACACAGAGGCACTTACGGTTGAGACCTACATCATGGTAGGTGAGGATGGCAGGGCGGTTCCCTTTGGGGGATCCCCGGATCACCACGTGCAGAAGGCCATAAGGCGTCTCGATGTCATGTTCCTGGAGGGGAGCAGACACTGCTGGATGCTCTGGTTCTTTGGAAGAATGAGGTGATGGGGTCCTCAGCTAGTCCTGTTTTTATCACCTCAAGTCACAAGATGATGGAGCCTCCTCCTCAGAGGTGTTCAGCATAGGGACAACATAAAGAGCAGGGAAAGTCCTGGTCCCCTCTGCAAACCAACCAGTCACTGCCCTGCCCCTGTGCTGCACCCAGCCCACTAGAGTCCCAGAGGACCAGTTTTCGCCATCTTACTGCAGCCACTCCTGGAGGGCTGTCGTCCCCCTACCCTCATCTGAGCCCCTCCCCCACTCAGAACCCACAAGGTTTCCAAACTCCTCAGAGAATGATCTCAGCAGCCCTGGCCAGAATCTGCAGCAAACACCTCTGTGTCAGCCACACCTGTCCATTGGTTCCTGGCCCTTGTCTCTCCCTTATGGATTCCTCATTCTGGCCCCTTGAATCCTTTCCCTGTGACAGACACCCCTTTGGTCTCTGTCAGGCAAGGTTAGGTTAGACAGTCCCCTAAGGCCTTCGGTAATACCTGCTCCCAGGTTCTCCTGAGTTCATGCTCTTGACCTTGCTGCTCATGTCCTTAGTCCTTCAGGGGAGAAGGCTCTGTGTGACTAAGCAGGGACAGTCATTTCTCAAGCCATCTCAGAGGGGCTTTGTAAGAGCTACAGCATTAGCAATGTGGGCAGGGCCCAGAGAAGGAGCTGTTGTACCTGGTACCCTTAAGCCTTGTGGGGAGGCCCTGCTGGTTGGTCCCTTTGCAAACTGGCCATTCCTGGACACTCAATCAGGAATCTCTAACAGGCCAGTCAAAGCAGAATAAACATCCTTCCCTGTACCACCATCAGTGGCCCAGAGCTGGAGGTAGAGCTGGGGTCTGAGCACTGTATGCCAGACTTCCTGTCTGCTGCTCAGGGACTGGGGGACTGGACTCCATTTTCCAGACAGGGACACTGGTTTCAGAAAGGGGAAAGGTGTGTGGCAGGAGGCAGCTTCTCACAGACTGGCTTTTTATAGTCTGGTCTCAGAAGCCCACTGTTTAAGGATGGGTCTGCAGAAGGGAAGGACAAGATGGTAATAACACCATAACCAAAGGCCAGACCCTGGGATTCACATTCTGTTTTGAAAGAACCTGTGGTTCTCAGTCAGGCCCAGGGCCAACACAGCCTCCCAGACCTGTCCTCCTTCAGGGCAAATCTGACCAAGGAACACTTCCTGCTCACTGGCACCTGACTGGGCACTTTTCACGTTGACACCTCATTTATTCCTCACTAGACCCAAGTCATCTAAATTTGCTCTATGGCAAAACAGGGGCCAAGAAAGGATAGGGAACTTGCCCAAGGGTCAAGCCCAGGGTCTTCTGAGGGGCGACTAAATTCCACCCAAGAGATGACCTTCTGAGCAGACAGCCCCCGACACCACCCCAGTAGCTTTTCCCCTGCTGGGGATCCTGCCACAGTCATCCCACTGTCCCCTCCCTATAGAGGGAGAGATGGGGCAAGGGGTGCACAATGGAAAAGGGGTGACAGTAAAGGGACAGTCCTCTGGGGCAGGGCCAGCACCTGCTCTGCAAGGACATTAGAACCCAGGGACTTTCCAAACTCAGACCTTCACCCTCTGGGAGTGAGGGGGTGTCTGCCCTCTGCTACTGAGGCAGCCTGAAGTCCCTTCCCTGTCCTGCTGTAGCATCCCTAGGCAGCTGCCATCAGCTGCAGCACTGGCTTGCGAAGGGTCACTTCCCAGTTGGGGTGGGGGTTGGGGTCACTTCCCAGCTGGCTCTGGACATGCTGTAGAGGCTTGAGGGGATGCCAGAGTGCCTGTCCTGAGGCCTAGTGACCTTGACTAAATGCTAGGAGCTGAGACCCAGCTTGCCTGACAGAGGTTGAGCATCCCCATTTCTTAGAGGACTGCCCAAAATGGGGGTAATGCCTCAAGGGCCACAGCCCAGCAGGCTGTCAGCCCCTCAACTCCCAAGGTAGAGTCCTCCCGATTGGCTCCAGGTGACGTCAGAGCCCAGCCCCCGCCTCCAGGTGGGCGCTGGAGGGATGCACTGCTGGAGGTATGCACTGCGGCAGGCAGCAAAGGAGGGGGCTCTGACATCCCCTCTGTCTCTCTTCGCCAGTGACCTTGAGTGCTGGGAGGAAAGGGGTCGGGGCTGGGTTTTGATGCACCAGCGGCGGCAGCTCTGGCATGATTCTTTTTGTCCGATTCATGGATAATTCAGGGAATGGGGTCTGCATGAGTGGGTAGGTATTGGTATCAAGACCAGCAGGGAAGGAGGGGATGAGTGCAACAGGGTACAGAATGCAGGTAGGGCAGGTCTGCCCTTGCCTTTCCTTCCTTGAAGAACAGCGTGGCTTGGGTAGCTTCTGCCCCTCCCCCCATGGGAAGAGGAGGTGCCTTGGGGCTCCCACACCCTGCTAGCTCAAGGGCTCCGGTGCTGCCTCCCACAACTTGCAAAATAAGACAGGGTAGCCAGTCCTTGTCCTTCCGCTCTAGCGACTCCTGTCTGAAGGCCCAGACTTTCCACCCTTCTGCCTGGCACTGCAGTACCTGGGGAAACACAACTCCTCAGGAAAACGGCAACTGCCCGCCCTTCCCAAGGCACTCTGCTGCAGTCATCCAGCATCAAGACAATCCCGTGGGACAGGCC